TGGAAGGGGATAGAACGAAGTGCTGCTCTGTCCTATGACCACACCTATGGCACCCTTGACTCACAGGACCACCATCCAGACTACAACAAAAAGTCTTTTGTTAGTGGTCCTGCCTTGAGATTTCTCTCTCTCTAACAATACACAAGCTTATAGATTACCAAAACCCTAATAATTTACATATCACACTCCTGGTCAAAGGTTTTAGTTAGTTCGTTTATTATGGAATGGAAGTTCACCACTTTAGCCCAGCGTTTCAACGGCTTGCACTTACCTCCCATGCCCCTACTACCACCTCTCCAATTCTCTAGTCGCTCAACAGACCCAGCTGCTGCTGGGGCTCCAGCACCCAGCACACACTGTGGTGTCCTGCCTCCATGTCTGCCTCCTTGCAGCACCATGTCCTCCTCTCATGCTGCTGAACACCAAAGCTCCACCCTCCCTTTGAAGGCGTAGTGGCAAGTCCACACAATTTCCAGTTTATTCCGACTGCTCTGATCCTTCCTTCTGCCCACCAGATGGGCTGATCTAGCTAGTGTTGCCCAGTTACTTATCTCTGAATTGTGGCTAGGCAGAACCTATAAAGATACCCACCTATCCCTAAGATTTCCTCACCCCTAATCAATCCTATTGACTGTGAACTATGATACAACATGATTATGTACATTAATAAACAAAGGGATTTTGCATAAATAATTAAGGTTACTAATCAGTTGACTTTGCTATATCAAATGGAGATTATCCAGAGAGGCCTAATAATCCCATGAGCCCTTTAGAGCAGTTTTCTCTGGGATGAAGGAGAAAAATGGGATCAGATTCAAGCATGAGAAGGATCTGATGCACTGTTCTGTGTTGAAGATGGAATGGCCGATGAAGGAATTAGTGGTCTTCTAGAAACTGAAGAGCAGTTCTCCTGAGGCCAGCAAGGAATGGGGACGTCAGTCTAGTAATCACACAGAACTGAACTCTGCCCAAAAACCTGAATGAGCCTGAAGTCGGATTTTCCCCAACATCAGATAAGGGCCACTCTGCCTGATACCTTGATTTGGCCCTGCAAGACCCTAAAAGTAACCACAGCTAAATATTGGACCATCTAAACTATAGAATTGTAAAAAACAAACCAATAACTGTTATTTTAAGCTCTTTTTTTTGTTTTTTTTTTTTTTGAGACAGAGTCTCACTTTGTTTGTCCAGGCTAGAGTGATGCCGTGGCGTCAGCCTACCACAGCAACCTCAAAACCTCCTGGCTTGAGTCGATCCTTCTGCACTCAGCCTCCCGAGTAGCTGGGACCTACAGGCATGCGCACAACATGCCCGGCTTAATTTTTTTATATATATATTCTATTGGCCAATTATTTCTTTCTATTATAGTAGAGATGGTCCCTCGCGTCCTTGCTCAGGCTGGTTTTGAACTCCTGACCTTGAGCCCAATCCCGCCTGCCTCAAACGGCTCCCAAGAGCTGGATTACAGGCGTGAAAGCCACAGCGCCCGGCTTAAGCTCTTGATAATTGTGGTAATTTTGTTATGTAGCAATAAAACAACACATATATATGTCTTGAGATTTGGGTTCCTTTTATTAATTGGTATTGGGTCCTTTCTTATATTTTATTTTATTTTTTTTATTTTATTTTTTATTTTTTATATAATCAGTTGGCCAATTAATTTCTTTCTATTGTATAGTAGAGACAAGGTCTTGCTCTTGCTCAGGCTGGTTTTGAACTCCTGACCTTGAGCAATCCCGCCGTCCGGCCTCCCCAGAGAGCTAGATTACAGGCTGAGCCACCCGCGCGCCGGCTTTTCTTATATTTTAAGATGCTACCACAAGTCTTCCATACGATTTTTTAGTCTCCTTAGTGGGTCATAGTTCATGGCTTGACCCCATATGCGATCTAGCACAGACTGTGCTGTCGTTGCCACAAGTGTCCCCTATAGCACCTGAAACAGTAAGGCAAAGCCCAGTGCATACAGTAAGAGGCTTAGGTTTTTTCTTACTCCAGAATCACGGGTGAGCGACTGCATCAGGCTTGAATCAGGGCTGATGAGCTGAGAGCCTGAGGGCTTCGCAAGATTGAGTCATCTCACTCTGCTAATTCAGAGAACTGAAATTATGCCAACCCATCAGTGCTACATCCCACCCTTCCCTACTCTGGAGCTACACAGACTGTACAGCCAACCAGTGCCCTCACTCCTGACACTCATAAAGCACCTGACAGTTTCATCATAGGCTGTTTTTAATTTTATTTTATTTAAATTGCCCATTTTGGCCTCATGGGAGTGAGAAGGGAGTAGTAGAGGGGCATTCCCAAGTTGTCTTGTGGATTACACATATCTGGTTTGTGCAACTGTAAGCCTACAAGGGAGTTTTCCCATTCAAGAGAAATAAAGTTTAAATACTACCTGCCTCTGCCAATTCTCTCCTTCCCTTCCTAACTTCTTTTGTATTTTACAGAGGATTTACATTTCACTTCTAAAACGCTGGCCAAGGATATAATGACTGATTCCCCTCTTAAGCCTCTGACCATAGTGTTCTCCTATTAATTCTAGAACTGGAAGAAGATGGACAAGAATTGGGGTGTTGTCAGGATAGCAAAAAAAGTCCATTGGAATACACACCTCTTATCTAATATTATGAGTAAGTCAGGAACTCCCCTCCCCAAATCAAACCTGTTAAGACACCAGCTGTCCTCAGTGGCAAGATCTGTAGACATGCATCTCCAAGGTCAGGGACTGTTCATAACATTTTGCATTTGAAGCAGCTGAAATAGTGCCAGGCACAAAGGTGTTTGATCAGTTTTATTGACTAAATAAACCTATACAGACTATTTCTATTCATTTTTTGTATTCCTAGTGTCTAGCATGGTGTAAGAGCTCAACAAATAATTATGGAAATGAATATAATGAATATAAAAATATTTTATAAACTGGACTAAGATTTTGAACTTTTCCCAATTGTGAAATTCTATTTACATGTGAAAATTGATCGCTTCTACAGGAATAAAGACTAGGTCTCAAATATTATCTCCTGATTTGCCAACAAATACAGAGAAAGCTTCCATGGACACATGGAGGGCAGAATCTGAACATCCTCATTTTTCTTAGCTTGAAGGCAGCCTTATGATCACATTAGCAGTGGTGTCAGGGTCTGGCCCCAAACAAAGAAATGCCACAATCTCTTCTGTTCATGCCCTTTCTATAGCTGTTAAGTTGATGTTTCACTCAAACCATAAAACCAAGCCAACCAGTACAAGATGAGCCCAACTCACTCTCCCTAATGCCCAGGAGGTGAGTAACCTGGCATCTTTGCCAGTTATCTATGAAGACATCCATGAACCTCCCTCCCTCACCCTCCATAACCACACTATCACCAACTTTCTGGCAATTTATCTACCCAAAATCCATACAATTCTCTCCCACTCAACTGGTAACATCCCAGTCCAAGACACCATCATTCCTCCCTGGACATCTTTGCAGCCTTCTCACTGGTCTCCTGGTTTCTATTCCTGTCACTCTCTACAATCTGTTCTCCACACACAGCCAGTGTGAACTAAAAATCCAAATCTAATCATACTATTCCCTCCATAGCCTTTTTTTTTTTTTTTTTTTTTTTTTTTTTTTGAGACAGAGCCGCTTTGTTGCCCAGGCTTGAGTGAGTGCCGTGCATCAGCCTAGCTCACAGCAACCTCAGACTCCTGGCTCAAGCGATCCTACTGCTCAGCTCCAAGTGGCTGGACTACAGCATGGCGCCACCATGCCAGCTAATTTTTCTATATATATTAGTTGGCCAATTAATTTCTTTCTATTTATAGTAGAGACGGGGTCTAGCTCTTGCTCAGAGCTGGTCTTGAACTCCTGACCTCGAGCAATCCGCCTGCCTCGGCCTCCCAGAGTGCTAGGATTACAGGCATGAGCCACAGTGCCCGGCCTATACTTTGCTCTTATAGTAAAAACCAAAATCCTTATCATGGTCTACCAGGCTTTGCATGATCTCTGGGTCCCTGCGCACCTCTCTAGCCTCATCTGGAACCCATACTACTTAAGTTTCTCTTGCTCCAGCCTCATGGGCCTTTCAATTTCAAAAGACTTTCTGGGCCGGGCGCGGTGGCTCACGCCTGTAATCCTAGCACTCTGGGAGGCGAGGCGGGTAGATTGCTCGAGTCAGGAGTTGAAACCAGCCTGAGCAAGAGTGAGACCCTCTCTACTATAATAGAAAGAATTATTGGCCAACTAAAAAAATAATATATAGAAAAAATTAGCTGGCATGGTGGCGCATGCCTGTAGTCCAGCTACTCGGGAGGCTGAGGCAGGAGGATCGCTTGAGCCCAGGAGTTTGAGTTGCTGTGAGCCAGGCTGACGCAACGGCACTCACTCTAGCCGCAACACAGTGAGACTCTGTCTCAAAAAAAAAAAAAACCCAAACCAAAAAAAAAAAAAAAAAAAAAACCAAAAGACTTTCTGGCCTGACGGTCTTTGTGTGACTAGTTTTCGCAGTTTTTTTTTTTTTTTGAGACAGAGTCTCACTGTGTTGCCCAGGCTAGAGTGCCGTGGTGTCAGCCTAGCTCACAGCAACCTCAAACTCCTGGCTCAGAGCAATCCTCCTGCTCAGCCTCCCGAGTAGCTGGAACTACAGACATGTGCCACCACGCCCAGCTAATTTTTATATGTATATATATTTTAGTTGTACAGCTAATTTCTTTCTATTTTTTAGTAGAGACGGGGGTCTCGCTCTTGCTCAGGTTGGTCTCGAACTCCTGACGATCCTCCCACCTCAGCCTCCCAAACTGCTAGGATTACAGGTGTGAGCCACTCCGCAGTTCTGAAAGTGCTTTTCGGGTTACCTCATACTCAGCACTGGATCTTAGCTCACTTCCCCTGTTACACTTTCTCACACCTTGCAAGTTCCCTTCAGTTACGTCTTCCCCACTAAAAGGTCAGCTTCAGGAAAGCAGTGCCTGGCACACAGCTGGCTCTCCACAGTACTCGTTGAATGAATCAGTGAACGAACCTGATCCAGCCATTCCAAGGGCAGGCTGCTAGGGGCCCTCTAGGGGACACGCGGCCTTTAGAGAGGACGTGGTTCCTTTCCTAACGCAGCTTGAGTCGTGGCTCTCTCGGTTCTTGATATACAACAAAAGTCGACAAGTCGAAAAACTTGCTCAACTTAAAGGTGACTCCGTCAGAGAATTAACTTCTCTGCGCGGCCAGGACCCGCAGCGCCCCCAGCCCCGCCCCGCCCCCAGCGTGGCCACGCCCCCAGCCCCCAGGCTCGCGGCTGCCGCTCTCGACCTGGCGCCCCCGCCCCTACTTCTCTAGGCCTGCAGCCGCGCGACTCCCGCTCCTTGTACCCAGGCGCTAGCACCACCCCAGATTCTGGGCTATCCGGAGCCACGGTTCAGTGGGAGACCGGGTCGGGATTCACCTGGCCCGCCACGGCGCTAGCCACCGCACACGGCGCAGGTTAGCCGCGCGGCGCTGGCGGGGTCCTTCAGGCGTTCTGGCGGGCAGCCCTCCTGGGGCCCTCGCACGGCTTCGTAGCGGCCGCGAGGCCGTGGGCGAGGCCGACAGTGGAATGGGCGGTGTGTGGGGGCGTGACTACGCGGGCAGTACGCTTGGCCCCGGCCGGAGGTGCGGCCCCTTGCTGCACCAGGGCCGGCCTTCCGACGGCTCCTGTCTCTCTGCGCAGGACCGGAAGAGAGAATGAAGCTGTTCTGGCCAGCAGGACTCAGATTGCGGGAACGGCCTCTCCGAGGCTGACTCGGGAGCTCTCGGGCGGGAGGGACTGTGAGGCCAGGGTCCTGGCGCCGCGCTACCCTGGGAGGCGGGACGGAGAGAGGACGGGATGCGCGGTTCAGGGCGGCAGCCCGGCAGGGGGCAGTGCGCACCAGCTGGGACTCCGGCCTGGACTTTGCCCGACGCGTTTCTTTCTTTGCCTAAGGCAGTGCCTGGCACATGATTGGTGCCCAATATTTATCAAAAAGTACGCGGAGGGCAAAGAACTTGTGTGCTCCATCGCGAGGGCACAGGCAGCCATTGAAAGTCTTTTTTTTCTTTTATTTTTTTTAGAGAGTTTCACTCTGTCGCCTTGGGTAGAGCGCAGTGGCGTCATGTAGCTCACTGCAGCCTCAAACTCCTGGGCTCAAGCGATCCTCTTGCCTCAGCCTCCTGAGGACTACAGGCGCGTGCCACCATGCCCGTCTAATTTTTTTCTATTTTTAGTAGATATGGGGTTCGCTCTTGCTCAGGCTGATCTCGAACTCCTGAGCTCAAGCGATCCTCCCATCTCGGCCTCCCAGAGTGCTAAGATTACAGGCTTGAGCCACTGCGCCGGCCTTAAAGTCATTTTCTAGTAAGTTCTACATCTTTTCTCAGCAATTTCTATTGACTGATTTTTTTTTCGCCTGTATATACGCCATGCTTTCTTGTTTCTTTGCATGTGTCATAATTTTTTGTTGAAAACTGGACATTTTAAATAGTGTGGCAACTCTGGAAATCAGATTCTCCCCCCTTCCCCAGGGTTTGTGGTTGTTTATTGTTGCTGCTGTTTGTTTGTTTAATGGCTTTTATCAACTAATTTTGTAAAGTCTGTATCCTTTGTAATGTGTAACCAAGGAAGACTGTAGTCCATTAGTTTAGTGCTCATCAAATGATTGACCATTGTGTTCCCTAAATACTTTAAAACAGTAAATCCTTTTACCTTCAATGGTCAGGCAGATAGTTTACAACTCTGCCTTAGACTTCACTTCTTGCTTTGCAGAGCCTGAAGTGCAGCCAAGGGCCTTCCAAAGTTTCTCCTGCTTATATGCACAGACCTGCTCATGCCTATGGTCTTCTAGATTCCTAGGAATGTGCCAAAGCTTTTTTTGAAAGCACCCTAGACATTCTATTCTCAGTTTTTCTTTTAAGTTTTTTGGTTAGCTTTTTGTTTGCTCCAAGTGTTATTGCCTAAAGCTGTTGCAAATTTTAAAAATTGGTACTGGTTGCTTTCAACAAATTCCCCAGGGTAAATGTTCTCAGTCAGGTTAAAAAAAAAAAAAGTAAGCCTGCTAGAGGTTTCTAGGGAACTGCCAGGCAAATCAAATAATGATAATTCTCTGGAAATGGTGTTTTGTGGGAGCTCAAAACTTGTTCTTTTCCCTTCAGTGTTTACTAAGTAGCTAATTTCCAGCATGATTGCAGGGCTGTTGGTTTTTAAGGCTACAGCAAAGCTGGGGTAGGGGGAATGGGTATAGGGTATGTTAAAAACACCACAAAGCTTGTTCTACTTAATAAAATTTAGCTATCTTCCTGAATAAATGCTACTTGTATTTTTGTAGGCCTTTAGTTCGTTTTTAAGTAGCACTCTGGGAGGCCAAGGTGGGAGGATTGCTTGAGCTCAGGAGTTCAGGACCAGCCTGAGCAATAGCTAGACCCTGTCTCTACTAAACATAGAAAAAATTAGCCATGCAACTAAAAATAGAAATAATTAGTTTGGCGTGGTAGCTTGTGCCTGTAGTCCCAGCTATTTGGGAAACTGACGCAGGAGGATTGCTTGAGCCCAGGAGGTGGAGGTTGCTATGAGCTAGGCTGATGCCACGGCACTTGCCCAGGCAACAGAGCAAGACTCTGTCTCCAAAAAAATAACTAAATAAAAAATAAAGAGTCTCCCTGAGACTCTGCCTAACTCCCTCTTGAAGCTTGGATATTTTCCTTTAGGTGGACAATTTTAATCAAAGCATTTGATAAGCAGGATGCTTCTGAAGCTGCAGGTCACGTGGGGCACATTAGAATCCATCAGCTTGAATTCAGTGGAGGTGCTCTGCCTGTCTCAACTCTTTCTTCCTCAAGTTTTGTCATTATATTCAATATCCACCTATTTTATTTCTGCAAGCATTCACAGCTCTCTCTAATCTGAGGGAAATACATATCACACTCAATGAACAGTGCCATCAAATCTAAAATTCTTCTCTTTAAAAATTTTGGAATTGTGGAATCTCTGTGTTGGGTGGGACCTCAAGAAAATAATTGAGTTAAATGATTCTTAATTCTGGTTTTGCACCAGGCTCCCTAAGTTGGGGAGGCTTTTTATTATTAATGCATATTTCCTAGGATTCATTCCAGATCCTCTGAAAAGAATCTCATTCTCTTCTTTTTTTTTTGAGACAGAGTCTCACTTTGTTGCCCAGGCTAGAGTGAGTGCTGTGGCGACAGCCTAGCTCACAGCAACCTCAAACTCCTGGGCTCAAGCAATCCTGCTGCCTTAGCTTCCCAAGTAGCTGGGACTACAGGCATGCGCCACCATGCCCGGCTAATTTTTTTTTTTTTTTTTGTATATATATTTTTAGTTGGTCAATTAATTTCTTTCTATTTTTTTCTTTTAGTAGAGACGGGGTCTTGCTCAGGCTGGTTTGGAACTCCTGACCTCAAACCATCCGCCCGCCTCGGCCTCCCAGAGTGCTAGGATTACAGGTGTGAGCCACCACGCCCCTCCTCATTCTCTTCTTTACATTATTTTTATGCTGTTTCCTAAGAAGTGAAAAGAAATTGGAGCAAGTGATTATAGCTTCTATTAGTAGATTGTGTTGAGTAAATGTCCTTAGTCCTAGGTGATATCACTAGCCTGCAGTTTGTAATTTTGGGAAAGTGAAAAAAGCATTAAAATATGTTAAGAAACAAAACACATGTATTGATATAAGCATGTATTTCTTCATTCTTTCTCAGTTTAACATGTGTATGTGTATGAAAATGTTTCCCTAGGATCATAACCAAATGTTTTATATAGGGATCTACACAATTTGGTCTAGAAGAAAGCTCATTGTGGAGTTGTGTGAAATACTCTGAGCCTAAGGGTTTTTTTTTTTTGTTGTTTATAAAATGGGGATGTACCTCTTAAGTTTGTTGTGAAACTGAAGTTAATCCTGGTGAAGTATTTAAAAACCTTACTTGACTGTACTACTACTACAAGTATTATACTCAATAAGTTTTCTTTGAATAAAATTTTGAATCCCTTTTACAGTGTGCTTGAAAGTTCTGATGCCAATCCTGACATATTGAAAGCTATGTCACTCACATGTCACATGTTCAGCTCAATAATGACGAAAGCCCTCAGTTGTGATTATTGCTGATTTTGAGGTACCTGTTTGCTCATTTTATATTTCTGTGCTCATTTGCTCACAATTATATACGAACAGAGGGAACCCATGACATGAAGCATTTAGTTTTAGGATGAGAGCATTGAATATCTCATATTTTTAAAAGATTCTTATTAACCAAGAGAAATGTTTGCCAGCCAGATTTTCTGCTGAGACTCATTTACTGAAGAAGCAAATCAAAGAGTTTGATCCTAACCATTGATTCTACAAAGGGGGTATAATTAAAGAGGCAACCGTTGTTTCACTTGGCCATCTGGGCATTCAGGAAGTTTTATAATTCTTCGTGGTAAGTTCAAGACTGTTCCTGCAAGAGAAGAATGCTTAGAGAAATTGAATTTGAAGGAAAGCTACCACACTGGTAACCATACCCAGAGTCCAGCAGGAGGAAGGCTAAACAATTATTCTCTGAATTAAGACAGACTAGAGATATTCTAATTTCTTTGGAGAAGAAAAAAGCAGAGTGGAAGAGGAGAGCAAAGGATGTGGTTGCCTGTGTGACTCTTTGGGTTGTTGCTGCCAATTTCTATAGTGAAGAGTCAATAATGAACATCCAAGGCTGCATGGACTAAGGCAAGAGCAGCACCTAAAAAGCTGTCTGTCCTTCAGCCCTTCTTTGTACTAACACCTCTGGTCACCCTCCCTTGAGGCTGTAGCCATCGTCCACTAAGCATGGGTCAGTTCAAGACAGCCTTCTCTTTCCCCAACAGTGTCTTGTGTTTTTTTCCTCCTTTTTTCCCTCTCCTCCTTCTCCTTCTTCTTCATCATCTTCTTCTTCAGAACCTCCTCCTCTTCTTCCTCTTCCTCCATCATTGTCATCATTGTAGTGGTTGTCTTCTATCTTTCTACCTCCCCCTCCTCCTCCTGGTCCTCTTCCCCCTCCTCTTCTCCTCTTCTTTTTCTTCCTAGTCTTCCCCACTCTCCTCTCTTCTTTCCTGGAATCATTACTTCTCTCAAACTCCAATTGTTTCTCTAGGACTGACTTAGGGGAAGAAACTAATAGCTGACTGTAGTTGAACATTAGGGCTAGCTCTTAATGCAATCATATACTCATGTATATGAGTACAGAAGCTTTTATTTATCAAACTTACATCTCACTTGAGTTCTTTCAAGTCTACATCTCATTTGAATTTCATGATAATTCAGATGAGTATTAGCTGAGTAATAGAGATGCTAACAAAAAAGACTTGTGACTTTTGTTTCAATGTTCTTTCCCCCATCACATCCTGTATTATTAGGATAACTGGGCTCACTACCTATACATAAGAATAACTAAAGCTGTCAGTGGCACTTGCTCTAGGTCACTGATGTTGTGCAAAAGGCTCTGACTTCTGTCAGCATTTTTAGTCTCTGTAAATCCTTTGCATCAGAACTTCTTGCATTACTTTGTAAAAGCAACATTAATTATATCAACAACTTGATCTTGGTGGAGAGATAGAATTTTGTGCTCTGTAGTAAAATTTTCGGGTGATCTCCTATAGTTAACTTTCCATCCATGGCACAATTAGTGTTTGCATTTGAAATACATGAATAACATGCATCTTTATCCTAAATAGACTATGAAGGTCTCAACACAATACAGAAATCTCCCCTATAAGATTTAGGATCTTTTAGTCCAAATGGAATGAAAGGAACCTGATTATATTTAGAAGCTGCACAAATTCTTTTCTGGATAGCTCTGATTTAATGACAATATTTTCAGTTTATACTGATGTGACATCTTCTTTGCCACTCCCTCCTCCTGAATGTCCCTAAAACCCTTTTTCCCTGTTGAATATTAGCCTTAGCTTTAGCACATAAGTGATTCTTAGAACCTTTTGGAGACCATTTCACAGATATCCTTAAGTTTAAAAGTATCCCTTTTAAGTTTGAAATGGAAATAAGACCAGAGGTTTATTTGACAAGGGCTGTGGATTTAGGTGTGGTCCAGGTATAGAAAGAGGGAATTCAGTAGGATTTTTATGAATCAGCCCAAGTGAACAAGAATCTGACAGAGGTAGAAATCATGTGCAAGAGGTATCTTCATAATTACTCCAAATCATGAAAATGCCTAAAACTTCTTAAGATTTCTCTTTAGTGGAACTGGAGAACATTCAGGTTATAAATAGACCTCTCCTAAGTGAGTAATATGTGTGCTGGTCTGCAAATCAGATGAGCCTTATAAGCTTGTCGTGGAGAATTGTGTAAGAAGATACTGTCGTAAAATTATTGCAAAATTATATAATTGTCCTATTTTACCTGCATTATCTCCTACCCTCTTTATTTTCTCTTCTACAATGATTTCTCTCATTGCCATGCTTCATAATGTAATGATCTCTATGGCTTCAGTTGAGTTTTTGCTTTGGTCCTATAATTCTAAATCAAGGACACAAAATCTAGACCCAGGGCTAAGGAAAGTCCTGGTCCATTGACTCTCAGAAGAACTGTTCACATTCCAATTAGGTGTCTTTAGTAAATATCCTAGATATTGGGCATGGCAGGGAAGATAAAGGGTGGAATAGATCTTCTTTACTGCTAAATTATCCAACCAAAATACATTTCTTCTCCCAGAAGATGTACCTTTAAGATGGTTGGGAAAATTTGAGTATGAAGTATGTATTAGAAGATGACAAGGAACTAACTAGGTATAATAAGACCTTATGAATTTGTAAAGGGATGCTCATATTTATTAGAAATGAACTCTGAAGTATGTAGGGGTGAATGACGTGATATCTGAGATTTATGTTAATATACTTCACCAAAGAAAAAAGAGAAAAGAATAGAGGAAAGAAATGTGGCAAAGACATTACAATTTACTTAATCTATATGGTAGGTATATGGGATTTATTTTTGAGACAGAATCTCACTCTGTTGCCCAGGCTAGAGAGCTGTGGCATCAGCCTAGCTCACAGCAACCTCAATCTCCTGGGCTTAAGCGATCCTTCTGCCTCAGCCTCTCGAGTAGCTGGGACTACAGGCATGCGCCACCATGCCTGGATAATTTTTTCTATATATTTTTAGTTGGCCAATTAATTTCTTTCTATGTTTTTAGTAGAGACAGAGTCTCGCTCTTGCTCAGGCTAGTTTCGAATTCCTGACCTTGATGGATCCTCCCGCCTCAGCCTCCCAGAGTGCTAGGATTACAGGCGTGAGCCACCGCGCCCGGCTGGCATTTATTATATTATCTCTACTTTTATGTATGTTTGAAATTTTTTATAACAAATACCTAATACCCTCTATAACAGCTCTTAACTATATCTGGTTTACTTCTAAAAATAAAATATAAAGGTGACGTTACTTACACATGGTCCATTATACAGTTTAGTTATGTGAAGCCCTTCATATCTGAAAGAAATTATATTTTGAAATGATTATTTTTGTTCTGTGGTGTATCATAAATTATGACTAAATTTGACTTAATAATCTTTGGAGAAGTTTGAGAAGGAAACATTCTGCTAACAGTGAATTCTTATTTAACAAATATTTAATATCTCTATGGATCTTTATTTATCAAGGAGATTGAATATATAAAAGATACTCAGCCTGAAATAAAATATAGAAATTCAAAATAACCTTTTAAGACTCACATAGAAACACAGAGGATTAGGAAGAGAATGTGCCTTAAAATTATGTATTTGATGAAAATTGAGGCATTACTATTGACTTTACAGAAATAAAAAGGATTATAAGAGAAGAATATGAATAATTGTATATCAATAAATTAGATAAGCTACGTGAAATGGACAAATTCCTAGAAACACACAAATTACCAAAATTTACTCAAAAAGAAATAAAAAACCTCAACAGACCTATGAAAAGTAAAGATATTGAATCACTAATCAATAACTTACCAAGAAAAAGAAAAAAAAAAAGAAAGAATCCTGTTGATGTGGTATGGTATGAAAAAATTAAAATGAAAAAAAGCAAAAAAAAAAAAGAAAGAAAAGCTTCCCAATGAAGAAAAGTTTAGAACCAGATGGCTTCACTAGTGAATTCTACCAAATATTTTAAAAGATTTAATGCCAATCTTTCTCAAACTCTTCCAGATAATAGAAGAGGAGAGGACACTCCTAATTTATTTTATGAAGCCAGCATTACTGAGATATCCAAGACAGACAAAGGCATCACAAAAAAGAAAACTATGCATCAGTATCCATTATGAATGTAGATGCAAAAATTCTCAACAAAATACTAGCAAGCTGAATCTAACAGCATATTAAAAGGATTATATATTGTGACCAAGTGGGATTTATCCCAAGAATTCAGGGTATTTCTTTTTTTCTTTCTTTTTTTTTTTTTTTTGAGACAGAGTCTCACTTTGTTGGGCCCACCAGTTTGTGTGTGTGTTGTGTGTTTGTGTTGTGTCAGGCGTGTGTGTACAGGCAACACCGCCTCAACAAACTGCCATAAGGGCTCAAGGCATCCTGCTCGGGGTCCCTCCGAGTAGCTGGGTATGTCTACGCTAATTTGCTTGTATCCTGATTATGTATTTTAGTTGCTGCGTTGTTGTGTTTTTTGAGTAGAGTGTGTGTCTGCGTTGGTCAGCCGTCCTAACCCATGACTGTTGTTAGGAGGTTGTGGCGCTCCGGACCTCAGATGTGTGTTGTTGTTTTGTGTTGTGTGTGTTACGGTTTTTCGGGACCAAATTCAGTGTGATTTCAAGACCTGAAAAAATAATCAACCAATTTAACAACATGACATTAATCGAATGAAAGAAAAAAATTGCCACTATGAGGATAACTCCGAATTAGATGCACAGCACACCACAATATTCACAAAATCACAACATCGCTTTTATAAAAAACAAAATTGTATAAAACTAGGAATTTTAGAGGGACAGTTCCTTCACGAATGATTAAAATTTGGGAAAAACTCATAGTATAGTGTCACATACTCAGTAGAATGAAAGACTGAAAGATTACCTAGATACAGGAACAGATGAAGGTGCCCACTTTGTCACACTGATACTGTCACATCTGCACTGGAAATCTAGGCAGAGCAATCTAGCCAAGAAAAGGAACAGTAAAAGGATATCTAATTGGATAAGGAGAGTAAAAAAAATATCTCTAATGTCAATAGGTATTAGCTCTCCCTTGGCCTCGGCTCTTGTGTTACTGATGGTGTTGGATCAGTGGCGCGTCTCTCTTCTCAATGGATGACATGAATCTTTCTGGATGCACGTGCGCCATGGTCCATATAATCCCGCTTATTTGGGGAGGCTGACCTAGTGCTGACAAGATTGATTTGAGGGCCCGGGGAAGTTTCTGAGGACTGTAGCGGCTGGGCCAAGACATAGGAAACGCTGATCAACACCACACACATACACACCAAACCAAATTGAGCAGCGGTGTGGTGCTCGATTAGTCCAGCCACTCCAGGCGAGGCTGAGCAGCGAGGATCACTTGGAACCCAGGGAGTTTGAGGATTACGAGTGAGCTATGATCTGTTGCCACTGCGTCCCCTGGGTGACATTTTACATTTCACCTTATGTTATAAGGAAAAAAAAAGAAATGGATGTGATCATTTATATAGAAAAGCCAAAAGAATTATATGAAAACAAAAGCTTAAGGCATAATAACAACTATCCAGTAAGTTGCAGCGCAGTCAAGATTACAACGAAAAATCAGTTTTGGGGGACATATGTGTACCTCCCTAAAAATCAGCAGTGGAGGAACAATTTGAAGAATTAAATTAGAAAGAATATTCTGGTTTACAATTAGGCATCTGACAAAAATAAAATACAATTTTAAAAACAGGAGACGGGAACTTGTACACATGAAATGACAAAAACATTGCTGAAACAATTAACGAGGGATAATAAGATGAAATATATCCATGCTCATTGATGTAGAAGATTAATTTTTTTTTTTTTTTTGTTTGAGGACAGAGGTCTCACTCTGTGTGTGCCGCAGCGTAGAAGTGCGTCATCAGCCTAGCTCACAGCCAACTCAAATCCTGGGCTCAACGTGATCCTCCCTGCTCAGCCCCTCTCTCCCGAGTAGCTGGGGTACAGAGCAGGAACATCATTGCCTGGGGTAATTTTCTATAAGTTTTTGGTTGGCGCAGTTTCAATTTCCTTTCTTATTTATTATTAAGACGGGGTCTCACTTTGCTGGGCTGGTCTCGAACTCCTGACCTGAGCAATCCACCACCTGTCAGCCTCTAGCGTGCTAGGGCATTATAGAGCGAGAGGTCCACTTGCCCTGGCTAAGAATTATATTGATTAAGATGAACAATATACCAAAAACATACTACAGGGTTCTTATGCAGATCCCTATCAAAATTCCCCAAAACCTTTTTTGGTTGTTTTTTTTTTTTTTTTTTTTTTTTTTGTTTTCTGAATGGAACTATAGTTTTCAAATTCATATGGAATTGCAAAGGGCCCTGAGTAGCCAAAACCATCTTGAAAAAGAAACAAAGTTGGAAGACTCCAAATGCCCAACTTCAAAAACTTACTATAAAACTATAGTAATCAGTGTGGTTCTGGTATCAGGATAGACATATAGGACAATGGAATAGAATTGGGAATCCAGAAATAAACTCATACATCTATAGCCAATCAATTGTCAACAAGGGTGCCAAAGCCATTCAGTGGGGGAAAGAGTAATTTCTTCAGCAAATAAAGTTGGGACAACTGAAGAACTAGTTGCAAAAGAATGAAATTGGACCCCTATCTCCAACTTCATATCCAAAAATTAAAAAATGGATCAATGAGCTAAAACTGCCAAGAGACAAAGAGAAAATCTTAAAAGCAGCAAAGGAGAAGTGAATCACCACATACAAGTGATCCTCAGAAAGTTTAATTTCTAATTTCTCATCGGAAACCATGGAGGTGGAAGCAGTGGAATTACATGGTCATAGCGCTAGAAGACAATGACTGTCAACCAAGAATTATATATCCAGCAAAACTATTCTTCAAAAATAAAAGTGAGGCCGGGCGCTGTGGCTCATGCCTGTAATCCTAGCACTCTGGGAGGCCGAGGTGGGCAGATAGCTCAAGGTCAGGAATTCGAAACCAACCTGAGCAAGAACTAGACCGTCTCTATTACAAATGGAAAGAAATTAATTGACCAACTAAAAATATATATACAAAAAATTAGCTGGGCATGGTGGCACATGTCTGTAGTCCCAGCTACTCAGGAGGCTGAGGCACAGAAGGATTGCTTGAGCCCAGGAGATTGAGGTTGCTGTGAGCTAGGCTGACACCACAGCACTCACTCTAGCCTGGGCAACAAAATGAGACTCTGTCTCAAAAAAGTAAATAATAAAAAAAATAAAATAAAGGTGAAATCATGGCATTCCCAAATAAACAAAAATTGAGAGAATTTGTGCTAGCAGACCTACAAAATATTAAAGAGAGTTCTTCAGACTGAAAGGAAAGGATACTAGACAGAAACTTGAATCCATTTGAAAAAATAAAGAGCCAGTAAAGGCAACTATATAGGAAGATATCAAAGACAGTATAAATGTTTTTTTGCTTGTAAATCTTTTTCTACTATCTGATTTAAGAGACAACTGCATGAAACAATAATTACAAATCTGTGTTGATGGAAATTTGGTGTATAAAGGTGCAAGTTGGTGATAACAGTTCAAAGTAGGATGGAGGAAGTGCATCTATATAAAAGCAACATTTTTGAATAATTTTGCAATTAAGTTGGTATTAATCCAAATTAGATGTAGTTAAAGAAATTTTCATCTTGTAATCCCCCAGTGCGCGCGACGAAATTAATTTTGTTTTTTTTTTTTTTTTTGAGACAGGAGTCTCGACTCTGTCACCAGGCTACGTAAGTGCCTCGGTTAGCCTAGCTCACAAGCAACTTCAGACTCCTAGGCTCAAGCATACCCCCTGCTCAGCCTCCCCGAGTACAGCCTCGGGATACAGCATGCGCCGACACCGATCGCCCGGTAATTTTGTTCTAATTTTGGTAGCGGACGGGGCGGCGCGCGCTCTTGCTCAGGCTGTCTGGAACTCCCGAGCTCAAACGAGCCCATCCACTTGGCTCCAGAGTGCTAGATTACAAGCGTGGCACCACGACGGTGCCAGAAGATCAATTTGTTTTAAAAATGTAGTAAAAGTGCCGGCCGTGGCTCCACCCTGTAATCCTAGCACTCTGGAGGCGAGGCGCGATTGCTCGAGTCAGGAGTTCGAAACAGCCTGAGCAAGAGCGAGACCCGTCTCTCTACTATAAAATAGAAAGAAATTAATTGCCAACTAATATAATAGAAAAATTAGCCGGGCATTGGTGGGCATGCCTGTGATCCCAGCTACTTGGAGCTGAGGCAGGAGATCTCTTGAGCCCAGGATGTTGAGGTTGCTGTGAGCTAGGCTAATCCCACGGATTCACTCTAGCCTGGGTAACAAAGTGAGATCTCTGTCTCAAAAAAAAAAAAAAAGAAAGTAAAAGTGAGGTTCTTGGAGTGCTCGAGTCTCCTGGTTTTAGCATCCTTTGAGTCTCTGATGTTGTAGGTCCCCAGACTGTGCATCTATTGTCTGACATCTGTGCCAGTGATTGAGGCTGACACCAAAGTTGTTTACCTCACAGTCTCTTTATGGGTCTAGTGTTCTCTTTTATGGTTTTAGTATTTATTCAGCTACGAATGCAAAAATTTCAATCCTTCTAGCTAAACATCTCTCATCCTGATTAAGAAAATTCTTACCCTTCTCTTGAGGGAAGCCAGGAAGAGGAAGGGAAAAGACCATGTTGTTGTCACTCTTGTGTTTTGCTTTTCTCCTCTTAAGAATTAACTTAACGCGTAAATCTTAGTTAGACAAGGATATGGATTTTCTTTAAGGGGAAAGCAGATTTCATAGAATACTCACTCTCCCACCTCTCTAAGAAGCTTCCTTGACACAACCTCTCTGTCCTCACATTCGCCTTCGGAACCAGGGAATGACATTTCACATGGGTGTCACCCAAAGTTCTAACGTGATGAATCCAGTTACTAAACCACATACGCAGGCTGAAACTAAAGAAATAGTTTTGGAAATAATATCCATTCAATGACCAATAAGTCACTAGCTGGAAGATTCTTTACCCAGCTTCTCCTCCTCCTCTTCTTCATCAGGTTTTTGTTCTTTGCCTGAGAGGACATCGCGATGACCCTCATCTATGGTCACATGATCTAGATGCTGTGGCTACTTGCTACTGAGTTTCCTTCACTTGATCCTTGTCTAGGCCAGACATAGTACCCTCACCTCAGTGGCTTTCTGCTTTTGCATTGCCTGAATACGATCACATGTACCTTTTGAGTGTCCAGTCCGGGATGGAAGACGTGGAGGAGCAAATAATGGAGGAGTTTCTGGAGAGAAGATCTAACTGGATGATGTAGGAAGCGGGCTGAAGAGGTCACCCCTATTTTGGCCATTTTTAGCCTCCTGACTTGAAAGAAGGGAGAATAAAATCATGACTTACAGAATTTTGAAGCAGAGATGGCACTCGTCATTGTAGGTAACCTGGTCACTGCCACAAACGGGTTCGCTGGGCTTCATGAGGGAGAAAACCCAGCACTTACGTACATTCTTCATACAGTCGGCCTAGAAACAACATGCAGACAACTGCGTCAGGTGCTTTCCTTCAGGTCCTTTGGCCACTGTCATTGGTAGCAGGGGAGGAAAATGGAATAAGGTGCACCAGACCAGGAGTTCAGAGAACAGGCTTCAGAAGCCTCAGTGTTTGGCCCCAGCACTTAACACCAATAATATGTATACAATTGTAATATAATACATAATCTGTGTACTCCCCAGTCCCCCATAAATTCTGTATCAAGATAAAACTACCTGCCCTACCAACTATAAAATGTGCTTGTTACATTACAGAGAGCGAAAGTAGGGAAATGTCTTTCAAGGTTAGAACTTCTTATGAACATTACTAAGTGACTTATCATATTTGGTGCCTCAGATGACAGTGGGCTGAAACTTGTCACAGCAGGGTTAGGATGTAGAAGGAAGGAAACGGACAGAAGATATCATGAGGCCTTAGGTGTGAGGGAGGCAGGATGTATGTCCTGGCATATCACAGTAGAAAGAGAATCCACTGCAGCACGAGACCTGAATTTGTGCCATGACATCATCATCCATTTAACGGTACAAAATACTCGCCTTTTATCCTACAGGAGAGTTGTATGAGCTGATTGGGACAATGCTTGGAAAGCTGGTTTAGGAACATATGAAATGTGCTACACACACTTGATGACTCAGCTTTTATTGTGTTAGTCCCATGTAAGTCCCTTCAGCTCCCCACCCCCGAGAGGAAAGAGCTGGAAATATCGGGGAAACTGGGTCTCTCCCCATTCCTGTTCTTGGGAAACAGACCTTACCATTGTCTCTTCGAGGTGAGCTCCCTTGGAGGCCATAGGAAGGGGAAAGTCTGGAAGACAAAAGCATGTACAGAAGAGTTGATGCTCTGTCTTCTGCCCTCAGGGAAAGCTAGGGTAAGGGAGACCCTGGTTGGCACCCAGGAAGCTTCACATCCCATCAGAAGAGGCTGCGTTCCTCTTTGATGTAAGCTACTCTCGAAAGGAATGAAGAATCAGGAAATTTCTGCCTCTTGCCCTCTTAATTCCAGCCTCTTAATTCTACTTCATAGGCAAATAACAACTTCCATAATCTTCTCAGTTATTTTTAGCAAATATGCTCTAAGTTATTATACAAAGTACTATGAAACAGTTATATTTAGATACATTAAAAGATGCTGTTTCATTAAACCTTATTCAATCCAAAGCAGTATTTAAAATTATATATGCATGTAAAATATTATATTGTATAATTATGTGATATAATAGATATTATAATCACATGATATAATTTTATAATATATAATATGTATAACCTATTATCAACTCTCATATATATCAGTTTTATTGAGATATAATTCACATATAGAATTCACCTATTTAAAATGTACAGTTCAGTGTTTTTAGTATATTCACAGAGTTGTACAGTCATCATCACAAGCAGTTTTAGAACATTTTCATCACCACAGAGAGAAACTCTGTACCCATTAGAAGTCATTTGTCATGCCTCTCTCCCATCAATTCCTCCTCCCACTCAACCCTCATCCCTGATAACAACTAATCTACTTTCTATCTCCATAGATTTGCCTTTCTGGACATTTCATATAAAATGGAGTCATACAAGATAGTATGTGGTCTTTTGTATCTGTGTTTTAATGTTTTAACCATGCTGTGGCTTGTATCATTAATTCATTTCTTTTTATAGCTAAATAATATTTAATTATATGTATATTGCACATTTCACTTATCCGTTAATCAGTTAATGCACATTTGATTTGCTTTTACTTTTTTGCTATTATGAATAAAGCTGCTATGAATATACATGTATATTTTTTTTGTGGGCAGTGTTTTCATTTTCCTTGGGTATATACCTAAGAGTGGAACTGGTAACCCTTTGAAGAGCCTCCAGACTATTTTCCAAAGTAGCTGCACCATTTTACATTCCTGCCAGCAATGTATGAGACTTTCAATGTCTTCATATCTTTGCTAACATTTGTTATTATCCCTCTTTTTTAATTATAGCCATCCTAGTAGGAGTGGAGTGATATTTCATAGTGGTTTTAATTAACATTTCCCTTTTAACCAATGATGTTGAGCAGCTTTTTTTTTTTTTTTGAGACAGAGTCTGACTCTGTCACCCCGGCTAAAGTGCCATGGTGTCAGCCTAGCTCACAACAACCTCAGACTCCTGGGCTCAAGCAACCCTACTGCCTCAGCCTCCTGAGTAGCTGGGACTACAGGCATGTGCCACCATGCCCGGCTAATTTTTTCTATATATATTAGTTGGCCAATTAATTTCTTTCTATTTATAGTAGAGACGGGGTCTCGCTCTTGCTCAGGCTGGTTTTAAACTCCTGACCCCGAGCAATCCGCCTGCCTTGGCCTCCCAGAGTGCTAAGATTACAGGCGTGAGCCACCACGCCGGGCCCATATTTTCTTTTAATAGTTTTACAATTTTAGCTCTTATATGTAGTTCTGCGATCCTTGTTGAGGTAATTTTTGTCTATGGTGTGAGGAAGGAGTCCAAATTAATTATTTTGCATAGGGATATCCAGTTGTCCCAGCAGCATTTGTTGAGAAGATGATTTTTCATTGAATGGTCTGGGCACCTTATTAAAATTAATTCACTCTAAATGCAAGTTGTTTTTTTTTTTTTTTGATTCTTAGTTCTATTTCATTGATCCATATTTTTAGACTTATGCTAGTACCACATTGTCTTGATGTCTGTAACTTTGTAGTAAGCTTTAAAATTGAAACGTACGAATACAATTTTGTTCTTTTTCAAGATTGTTTTGACCATTGTTGGTCTTTGGCATTTCCATATGAATTTTAGAATCAGCCTTTCCATTTAATAAATAAAAAGCCAGCTGGAATCTTTAGTATTTGTATGGTATCTGTGTGCAAATACAGATTTGGGGAGTATGGCCATCTTAATGATGTTCAGTCCTCCTATCCATGAAGGTGGGATGTCTTTCCACTTATTTAGGTCTTCTTTAATTTCTTTCTTCAATGTTTTATAGTTTTCAGTGTATAAGTCTTTCATCTCCTTTGGTAAATTTATCAAAGGTATTTTTACGCTACTTTAAATGAAATTGTTTTCTTAATTTCATTTTCAAAATGTTCATTAGTCCTGTATAGATACACAGCTGGTTTTGTATATTGATTTGGTATCTTGCAAATTTGCTGCCTGATTTATTAGCCCTACCAGTTTTAAGTGTATTCCTTAGAGTTTTCTATTCACAAAATCATATCAGCTACAAATACAGATAATTTTACTTCTTCCTATCCTATCCAGATGCCTTTCATTAATTTTCTTGCCTAATTTCCCTGGCTAGAATCTCCAATACAATGTTGAATAGTAGTGGTGAGAGCAATGTTGCTCCCACTCACCTCCTTTGTGCTATTATTGGCAAATATATTACATTTCTGTGTTCTATGTTCTCTAACATATAGAAATACATTCATAGGAACTTTTTTGTAGTAAGAGAACATACTTTATATGATTTGAATCCTTTTAAATTTATTGAGGCTTCTTTTATGGCCTAAGATATGGTCTCTCCTAGAGAATGTTCCATGTGCAATACACATTCTGCTGTTGTTGGATGGAATATTCTATAGATATCTAGTAAGTCTAGTTAGTTAAGAGTGTTGTTCTAGTCTTCTATTTCCTTTTTGATCTTCTGTCTAACTGTTATAGCCACTGTTAAAAGTGGGAGGTGATGTCTCTAACTATTATTGTTGAGTTATCAATTTCTCCCTTCAATTCTATTAGTTTTGCTTTACATATTTAGGGCTCTATTTTTTTTTTTCTTTGAGACACAGTCTCACTCTGCTGCCCAGGTTAGAGTGCCGTGGCATCAGCCTAGCTCACAGCAAACTCAAACTCCTGGGCTCAAGCAATCCTGCTGCCTCAGCCTCCCGAGTAGCTGGGACTACAGGCATGCGCCACAATACCTGGCTAATTTTTTCTATATATATTAGTTAGCCAATTAATTTCTTTCTATTTTTAGTAGAGATGGGGTCTCGCTCTTGCTCAGGCTGGTTTCAAACTCCTGACCTTGAGTGATCCTCCTGCCTTGGCCTCCCAGAGTGCTGGGATAACCGGTGTGAGCCATCACACCCAGTCCTTCCTTTGCTTCTTTTTTTTAAATATGCATTTAGAGATCAATACAGTGTTTCTTTTGCTTCTTTAAACAATATTTCCTTTAGTTCTTTGAACATATTTATATTAGTTCCCTTGAAGTGTTTTTTTTTTTTTTTCGGCATATTATGGGGGTACAGATTTTAAGGTTTCAATAAATGCCCATTTCTCCCCCTCCCCCCTCCCTTGAAGTTTTTATATGCTAAATCTGGACTTTCTCACAAGCAGTTTCTGTTGCCTGGGGTTTTTTTTTTTTTTTTTTTTTTTTTTTTCCTCTGTATGGATCTCACATTTTCCCCCTTTTTCATGTCCCATCATTTTTGTTGAAAATTGGACATTTAGATAGTATATTGTAACAACTTTGGATACTGGCTTCTCTCTCATGAAAGACTTGTTGTTTGCTTGTTCATTTGTTTAATGCCTTGGCTGGAATGTTTTAGTGAAGTTTATTTCTCCTGCAATGTGAAGCGCCTGATGTCTCTCTTCAGAGGACAGTTTTAGCTACGTGCTTAGTCATCCTGGGATGATGGTGGTTTTAACAGGACTCACTTTGACTGTCTCTTTCTGTAATCTCTCTGTAATGCTGTTTGCCTCTGTTGGCATCATACCAGCTGTTAAGCTTTGCTATTTGCTAAATGATTGCTCTATGGCTTTCAACAATTCTCTGAGGCATAAATTGCTACACAGTCTGATCCAATTAAATCTGGGTTCTTTGCAGGGTAGTTTTTGAGACTAGCCTTTGAGGTTTATTCTGAACTGCCAGGGATGCTCTTTTTGGCAGTTTTTTTTCCTGGTTCTTTCTAGTAAACTAGTTGGCCTATAGTTTAGTTTATTTTTCTCATGGAGCCACCTGCTTTCTCTTAAATGCTGACCATCAAAATCTCTGTTGTTTTTGAGAGTCCCTGCTATGTGTCCCCTAAAGTTCATGTGTTAGAAACTTAATCCCCAATGAAACAATGTTGAGAGGTGGGGCCCTTAAGATGTGACTGATGAATAAATTAATATTTTATCATATTAAAATATTTATGTTATCATGGGAGTGGGTTAGTTATTGCAGGAGTGGGTTCCTGATAAAAGGATGAATTCAGCCCTCGCTCATGAATGTACACACATGTGTGCTCTCTTACCCTTCCACCTTCTGCCACTGGGTGACACTGTAAGAAGGCCCTCACCAAACGCAGGCCCCTCAACCTTGGACTTCCCAGCCTCCAGAACTGTAAGAAACAAATCTCTGTTCTGTATAAATTACTCAGTCTCAGGTATTCTGTTGTAGCAGCACAAAGCAAACTAAGACAGTGCCCCTAGGCTTGAATTTCACTACAATCTATTCTAAATAACGTCAGGTTTTTTTGATGAAATGTCTGGAGCTCTCTGTTCTCATGGCCTGCTTCTCTCCCAGGACAAAATATCTATGCCACTGCTCTGGACAGTGGCCTGCTTATCTCAGACTGACAATCTGCTTCACAAGCAGAACACTGCCTCTGATCTTCTCAGTTTGTTTTTCCCAGCATAGAACCTCTAACCTACAAGAAAGCTAAGGCGAGGGCAATTGGGGCCCTACTATTCTCAGCCCACCTTACCTGGGGTAGAGACTCAGCACAAGTGGAAGAGGGGTGGAGAAAGGCAGCACCCTACCTCTTGGCCTCACTGTCTTGTAACTTAGCCTCAACAACACAAAGTGAGGGGTGGGGCACTGAAAAATGTTGACAACCTGCCTGTCCCAGGGAGATATCGCTGCCCCTCAACTGTAAGTTATGGAGAGAAGGAAAATCATCTTCTTGGCCATACCCATCCGGAGGGGAGCTTTCATTATGCTAATCTGGGCAGGGGAGGGAAAAGAGGAACCGAGGCTTGAGTTCTATGCACTCTTGCTGTCCTTACCATTTGAAACACTTATCAAAATGTGTGTTAATACTCGGTATAGACCATGATATCTGTATACCTTCCCCCACTTGTGTGTAACACTGTGAGTCCGGGGACCATTCCTGCCACATAACAAGTGGCTATCTCAGCTTCTGGCAAAGGTCAGCAAGCAGTATATATTTCTTGGCTATGAAAATAAGTGGGTTCTGGGAAACCCAGCATGGTAGGAGGGGCTATTTCACAAAGCCTTTTGTGTTTAGTACAGCAGAACTAAGATAAGATTTGCATGAAAAAAGACAACCATTGTAGCAATGTGGATGATGCGTTAGACTTAGTCAAGCTGGAGGCAAAGGTAACAGTTAAGAATAGATAAATATTTTCAAGAAAAAATGATGAAAACCTTCATTGAGGAAGAGTCATTTTTGTGGAAATGTAAAAAAAGGCATGAATTTATGTGATATATGAATTTCCTATCCACTCTGGGAGGCTGACACAGGCAGATCATTTGAGCCCAGCAGTTGGAGACCAGCCTGAGCAAGAGCAAGACTCTGTCTCTACTAAAAACAAAAAATTAGAAAGAAATTAGCTGGACAACTAAAAATATATAGAAAAAAATTAGCTGGGCATGGTGGCACGTGCCTATAGTAGCCTGTAGTCCAGCTACTCGGGAGGCTGAGGCAGAGGATCACCTGAGCCCAGGAGTTTGAGGTTGCTGTGAGCTAGGCTGATCCACAGAACTCTAGCCTGGGCAACAGAGTGAGACTCTGTCTCAAAAAAAAAAATTCCGATCAACTGAACTTGTTCACTTGATATAGGCCCACAGGAGATATGGGCTTGAGGGAAAATATAAAGCCATACAATTATGAGAACAAGGAAAGAACTATTTTCAAGAATTGCTCAAGACTCAGCCAGAGAGCACACTGGGCTTGCAGGGGGCTATGCCAATGGCCATGTGCTCGGGAGCAGTGGGATGAGAATCGAGTGAAAGGTGAGGAATCGTAGAAATATATCTAGATTTGTCAAGATAAGATTAAATTGTATAGGGAAGGTGAGGAAAGAGAAAGTGCTTTTTGTTTTTTACCTAAGATGTGAGAGTCATGAAGAATAGTTTTCAGTTTGTTACAGAAGCATCTTAAGATATGAGAGGCTTGAAAAAATGCTTTAAGTGAGAAAATGCCAATGAAAAGGAAAAGGTTGAAGATATTAATAAAAGAGAAGGAATTTCAGAGTCCAAATGGAGAAGGAATGTATTCAAGCCCTCAGAGATTCCCTATAGTCAATCATGAACACAATTTTCAGTAAAACCAGCCATTGACCAGAATAATATCTGAGTCTACTTCCACAGAGTCTAATGAAGTTCATTTTGGATTTGACATATGTAAATATACAAACTCTAGAAATGAACTTTTCTAAGGTTTTGAATGTCTAGGATAGTAAGTTGGTGTTTTGGAAAGTTCAATAGTCCTGGATTTGGAAGGTTTGGATTCAACTTCCTGCTTTGATACTAACAACATTGTGTGAATTCTATGGATTTTAGTTTCTACAGCTGTACCATAAAGGAATTAGGATTAAATAAAACTGAACGTCACTTCTCCTTCCATCTCTAATTTCCCCATGATTCTGAATCTACTGCAGAAAATGTGGGCAGAGCAAGGACATGTAACTTACCAATTGCAAAGACAGTCCACATGGAGATGGCAAGAACAAGGATGGCATTTGAGAAGGTCCCCTTCATGGTGACAGGAGAGCTGTGAAAATAGGCAACTCTTGATGGTAGGACAAAGAAAATTCTACGTGAAGTACACGTTCTCACAGAAATCCCTCACTGACCAGGAAATGAAGTCTAAATATTAACACTTTGTTCTTTCCTCAGGTTATTTGGAACGGATTGTGTCTGATGCAATTAAAGTGCCTAATTCATTTCCCTTAAATAATTGGACATTAGAAAAAATGACCTTAAAAGAGAATTTTAGAAGATACCAGAAAAAGAACTACTAAAGAATACTTGCAAAGGAAAGAGTAAATACCAACAGTTTTTCAATGAAATATTTTAAAGTTTGCATTTATCTCTGAGGTGAAGAGCAGTCACTAGAAAGCTCAGTGGCACATGTAAATCAACAGACAGTAAGAAACAGGAAGGGATTTAATACCGAACACTCACTCCCATGCTCTTACTTTTCCCTAATGCTGTTACCATAGTGTTAAAGTTTAGTAATCAATAAAATTACTGAAGTAAAAACTATGGAGTATTTACTAATAGCCTACTGCAGTATTGAAAGTATCATAGTGCATACTGACTGATATTTTACTTTCAGGTTTCTATTCTCTTCATCCTATATATTTTCCAGGCAAATTATATATCCAGCTAATTTCTGTCCAAGACCATCCCTCAGTAAAAGTAAATAATAAATAATTACAATCCTTTTCCTACTCAAAAATATGCAGATCAATAAGTCAACTTTACCTGCTGTGACTCCCACAGTTGCTCTGAGAAACTGGCTGGACAGGAAGGTTTTTGTGGATAGTTTGTTGATAATTAAATAGCAATGTAGGCGGAGTGTCTTTGTCTTTTCAAGGTTACAATGCTTGGCAGTGGAATAGTGTGAGCTTTGAAGGTAGAACACAGAAATGTTTTCAAACCTATTTATTTTTTGAGATAGAGTTTCACTCTGACTTCTGGGCTAGAGTGCAGTGGCATCATCATAGCTCACAGCAACCTCAAACTCCTGGGCTCAAACAATCCTCCTGCCTCAGTCTCCTGAGTAGCTGGGACTATAGGCGTGCATCATGATGCCCAGCTAATATTTTTCTATTTCTTGTAGCAACAGGGTCTTGCTATGTTGCCAAGGCTGGTCTTGAACTCCTGACTTCAAGCATCCCTCCTACCTCAGTCTCCCAAAGTGCTACAGGTGTGAGCTACTGTCCCCGGCCTATTTGTTTCAAACCCAAGTCCTTTAATGCCTAAATCTCATGTGTTCATATTTCAATTTTCTGACTATGTATGTACTGTCCATTACCACTCCAAAATCTAGCTGTTCTTGCCAAACCCGAACCTACCATTTTAGAGATATATCATACTCGATTTCTGAATTCCTATATTTTTTGTCTGTATTGCAATTATTATATGCAGGGTAGCTTCAGATATTTATACAATACTATCAATTACCACATCTGCACATGCAGTTAATTATTTTATCAATAGTCAAAAATATATATTCATGGGCCAGGCGCTGTGGCTCACGCCTGTAATCCTAGCTCTTGGGAGGCCGAGGCGGGCGGATTGCTCAAGGTCAGGAGTTCAAAACCAGCCTGAGCAAGAGCGAGACCCCGTCTCTACTATAAATAGAAATTAATTGGCCAACTGATATATATATAAAAAATTAGCTGGGCATGGTGGCGCATGCCTGTAGTCCCAGCTACCCGGGAGGCTGAGGCAGAAGGATCACTCGAGCCCAGGAGTTTGAGGTTGCTGTGAGCTAGGCTGTTTATTGAAGTATTTACTTTAGAATTTTTTTTTTTTTGAGACAGAGTCTCGCTTTGTTGCCCAGGCTAGAGTGAGTGCCATGGCGTCAGCCTAGCTCACAGCAACCTCAAACTCCTGGGCTCAAGCAATCCTCCTGCCTCAGCCTCCCGAGTAGCTGGGACTACAGGCACGTGCCACCATGCCCGGCTAATTTTATATATATATATTAGTTGGCCAATTAATTTCTTTCTATTTTTATAGTAGAGACAGGGTCTCGCTCAGGCTGGTTTTGAACTCCTGACCTTGAGCAATCCGCCCGCCTCGGCCTCCCAGAGTGCTAGGATTACAAGCGTGAGCCACCACGCCCGGCCACTTTAGAATATTTTTATATTGACTCAGATTTAAAGTAGAAAGTTGCCTTATATGGAATCGGCCTCGTTCAGTCTTATGTACAAGAGTTGAGAAGTCTTGGGATACAGTGTTTATTCCCTTAAATAATTGATCTTTCTAACAATTGGAATAGAAATTTCTCAAAACACTGACATTCTTTAAAGGGAAACTTCAGACGTTATGGGGTATCATAGATTCCTTAAGTCCAGGTCTCTAAGTGAATGACCTTAACCGGGGACATGTCATATAGTTCTGGGAGGTCACGTGCACTTTCACAGCATTGCTGTGATTGACCACCGTGTCTACCATGGTGCTTTCCAGAATTCGTGCTTTTAGTCCCTCTAAATTTGGCGCCCACTTATATTAATATATTTTTAAAGTGAGATGTAAAATTTTTCATCACAAGTTTAAATAGTTTCAAATGATTAAATTATTGGCTTCATTTATATATTGATGTTTTAAAATAAAAACGTTTATAAAATAAAAATCATTATTTTAGATATATCCAGTGGAATCTACACCCTATGGCAATTTGATGTCACCATGATATATCTGAAAAACACATGAAGGAGCTTACAGTTAGAAATTTTACATAGTTTCTTTTTCTTCTTGAATTAATGTTTCATTCTACTTTCTCCATGTAACTTTATTTCTTTGTTGGTCTTGATGGTCCTTTACTGATCATGCTTTCCTAATATTCTTCAGTGGAAATATGCAAATGAATTGATTTTTAAATTTCCTGTGATCAGAAATTTTAATAAATTACTCTTGGTGGCTGGGTGCTGTTGTCACGCCTGTAATCCCAGCATCTTGGGAGGCTGAGGCAGGAGGATCACTGGAGGCCAGGGGTTCGAGACCTGATTGGGCTACATAGTGAGACTCTGTCTCTACAGAAAATTAAAAAGTGAGCCAGGTGTGATGGCGCGTGCCTGTGGTCCCAGCCACTAGGAAGGCTGAGGCAAGAGGATCGCTTGGGTCCCGGGGTTCAGGCTGCAGTGAGCTATGATTCTGCCTCTGCACTCCAGCCTGAGCTGGACAACAGAGTGAGACCCTGTCTCTAAAAAATAAAAATTAAAATTAAATGAATTTCTCTTGGATTGAATTACCATTACAATTATTATTGTACATGTTAATTAAAACATAGGTATATTATACCATTTGATAGTTATTTAACATAGAAGTAAGTATACATTTCTTTTTATTTATTTATTTATTTTTATTTTGGCATATTATGGGGGAACAGATTTTAAGGTTTCAATAAATGCCCTCCCCCCCCAGTATACATTTCTTAATGTGATGGATGGTGCTTGCTAATGTTTTGCAGATAGTGCAAATACCTACCCTTGAATATTACTTGTTGTTCCTTTCATCATCTTCAGGAAAAAAAGAAAAAATAACATTATTTTAAAATATATATAAATAAAAAACAAATTAAAAATAATAAATAAATAAAGTCCTGTCATCATCTTCAGGAAAAAAGAAAAAGAAAAAATAACGTTATTTAAAAATATAAGTAAATAAGTGTTCCTTTCTCTCTGCGTCCATTCCAGCATCTTTTGTTTGGGGACTTTTTTTTTTTTTTTTTTTTTTTTTTTTTTGAGACACAGTCTCACTTTGTTGCCCAGGCTAGAGTGAGTGCCGGGGCGTCAGCCTAGGCTCACAGCAACCTCAATCTCCGGGCTCAGCGATCTACTGCCTAGCCTCCCGAGTAGCTGGGACTACAGGCATGCGCCACCATGCCCGGCTAATTTTTTGTATATATGTTTTTAGTTGGTCAATTAATTTATTTCTATTTTTGGTAGAGACGGGGTCTCGCTCAGGCTGGTTTCGAACTTCTGACCTTGAGCAATCCGCCCGCCTCCGCCTCCCAAAGTGCTAGGATTACAGGCGTGAGCCACCACGCCCGGCTGTTTGGGGACTTTTTGATAAAAGCCATTCTCACTGGAGTTAGGTGATACCTCATTGTGGTTATGATTTGCTTTTTTTTTTTTTTTTTTTTTGAGACAGAGTCTCACTTTGTTGCCCAGGATAGAGTGAGTGCCGTGGCATCAGCCTAGCTCACAGCAACCTCAAACTCCTGGGCTCAAGTGATCCTCCTGCCTCAGCCTTCCAAGTAGCTGGGACTACAGGCATGCGCCACCATGCCTGGCTAATTTTTTCTATATATATCAGTTGGCCAATTAATTTCTTTCTATTTATGGTAGAGACGGGGTCTCGCTCTTGCTCAGGCTGGTTTCAAACTCCTGACCTCGAGCAATCCGCCCGCCTCAGCCTCCCAGAGAGCTAGGATTACAGGCGTGAGCCACCACGACAGGCCATGATTGCATTTTCCTGATGATTAGAGTTGCTGAGCATTTTTTCATGTGCTTATTGGCCATTATTCTATCTTCTTTTGAAAAGCTGCTCATCTCCAACATTTCCTCCAACCTAAAATATACGAATACTCACCTACCTGACCTCTCCTGCTAGGACTGTGACTCAAGGTGACGGTCCCTGTGTGGGGAGGAGCAGCTAACCTCTGGGCTATACCTTTGGGAATCTCTGACCTTGTCTCCCTCCAGAGCTTATCACGTCACCTGCGGCAGGAATGACAGTGACCGTAAGGGGACATCTAATTCACTAAAAATGTTTTATCCAAAGTATTAATTATTCTAAACAAGTACTAGAGGTTAATGAAAATGCCCAAAGAGACTGTCAAAAGTAACTAGCAGAGAAACTTTCCAGCAATTTCCAGAGTGATGGGAAGCAGATATCCTTAGATGCAGTAAATGAATGCAGAGAATCTAATTCCATTTTCCAGATAGAATTGTGGTTCCTTTGAGGGATAAATGTTCTTAAATGTTTAATTCCATAAACTTCCTCACAAATCTTAGATACATGGGCATTTGTGATATAAATTGAAATAAAAACACAAAGAAATAGTATGTAATGAAGCTGCCAAGGAGATGGAAGTAAATAAGGACCATTTTTTCTCCCATCAATGCCATTTTAACGAAGAGGAAATGCCAATTGCGTCCAAAACCATTGAGAGGAAAATTAAAATAACCACATAGAAGTAGCTCCTGAATTAAGCACACAGGAAGCTTTAGGGGGATTAATTTGGTTACATCAGCCTCAGTGGAACTGTGATTTTGGAGAAGTGTAGGAAGGAAAGGGAAACATCATTGAGAGGACAATTCTATTAAATATTTTAAAAATGAAAAGAAGGAGAGTTTTAGTGTTTATCAAACCCCGTGGTATGCATTTGTCTTACCACATCATCCAGGGAACTTTCTACATCCTGTTCATGAGATGCAATTAGCATGATGCCATCAGTATACTAAAATGTCAAAATGATCAAGATTTCTTCAGATTATTTGTGACTTAGAACAAAAGCTGTCATTGTCTGTGGAAAGATAGTGAATATGAACTGCTTTCTTATCCAGGTAAATGAAAATTACTTTGGATTGTCTTTTCTGATAGACATTAGAAAGAGCACGTGCTTCAGATAAATAACCACAGAGCACCTGCTGGAGTCCACCAATCTCTTCTTTTTTTTTTTTGAGACAGAGTCTCTCTTTGTTGCTCAGGCTAGAGTGAGTGCCGTGGTGTCAGCCTAGCTCACAGCAACCTCAGACTCCTGGGCTCAAGCAATCCTTCTGCCTCAGCCTCCCAAGTAGCTGGACTACAGGCATGTGCCACCATGCCGGCTAATTTTTCTATATATTT